GTGGACCAAAGCGTGTACTTCCCCCTAAAACGCTGGCAAATTATTTTAAAGTATCTTCCAAACCAAAAAATAATGGAGAAATAGAAGCACTTCTAGAAAATAATAAAGGTAAGACATTAAGTTGACAAAATAAATTTTACATATTTAAATATCAATGATTCTGACACATAAAAATATGAACATATTTTATGAGTTCCTATTGCTATTTGTTAAACCTCAGCTACACTGAAGGTCTACATATGGAAGTTTTAATATTTCAGTTTTGATAATGGATTTCAGTTTGAGCTTATGCTGTGGAAATATCCAGGGTCTTATTAAAAGTTGATTTTACCTAAAATATTAATATTTTATTTATGCAGGAGTCAAACAAATTACTGAGACTAAATCTACAAGTGCAACTAATTTAAATGTCAAAGAATTTGGAGCTGAGGAACCCGGCAGGAAAAATGCAACATCTCTTATTCTTTTTGAGGAGGTAGGGTTACAGAAGTACACATTCATGATATTTCATGATAAAAACTTTTTAAAAAATGACTATATGTTTTCTTATAAAGAGGTATAAAATAGCTAAGAAAGTCAGTAATACTCCCATCTATTTGAAATTAAAGCAAATAAAGCCATTAACTCTAGAATTTTTGAGGAAGATGATGAACACAATTCATGGTTACTAATTATTCAATGATTATAGAAATTATTCTGATTCATACTTACCCAGTTACAGGTGGCTACATATATTTATTTTTAATGTTTGATATTTGATTATTAAAATTCATTTATAGTGGATGACATTGTAAGCTTTCAGCATGGGCTGAATTCACACTGTTTATAAATTCACAAATTTTTGTCTCTAGCAGACATATAGTATATCTACTATGTATACATAACTGATATCCAGTGTATCGTTACTTGTTATGTTAATATTCTAATAAACGGTTTGTAGGTTGATGTAATTTTTGATGAAGATGCTGGGTTTTTGAATGCAATCAAAACATTCATGGCAACAACTAAACGACCTGTAATCCTTACTACAAGTGGTAAGTAACAGTGATTTTAATACAGTTAATTACCTTTGGCTAAAAATGTTTGATAAAAGCTTCTAATTTTAGTTAGAAATGTTCCTTTAAAAATCAGCCAATTAAGTCTTTTTTTCTAAAATGAGGGGGTGCCTAGATATTTTTGAAACAGTTATTCAAATTTGTAATTGATTTGCAGCCTCAAGTTATTATAAAATTAAGATATTACCTCACAAATAGCAATGGCTTTTTAAAAATGGATACTACTTTGGGTCTCTGTGTTGGGTATTAGATATTTAGGAAGCTGAGAACAGCCTAGAATGCAGATAGAAAGATTTATGAACTAGCTAGTGAAGGTATTTTTTGTTAGGGAAAATATCAGATTCTTCTCCTTGCCTCTTTATCATACCTATAATTAGATCACCAAACCTCACAGAGTGGTCAAGATTTTTTATGGAATTGAACCTTTCTGCAGTTCCTTAATATTGAGTTTAACCATTCTTTACTCCCTGATAACAGTCTTATATAGATTATTGCATATTTTAGCTAAAGTAAACCATCATCAGCCTAACAGAATCAATCTACCTTCTCAGGAATTAGCATTGAATGTTTCATTTTAAAAACTCAATTCCTTTTTTTTTTTTTTTTTTTTGAGA